AAAAAATGCTAGCCCTCTTCATGAAAGAAGATACAAAGTCCATTTATCTGTCTTGAGTGATGTTCATTCTTCCTCTTAGTCCCCTTTGGTATCTTGTAACTTGTACGTGGAAATCAAAATTAACCACAATTAGCACATCTGATGTAAATAGGAAAGAAGAGAGGAAAAGGAAGGTACAAGAAAAACGGTAAATACAAACACAGACATATTTTTCTACCAAAATAGGGAAGAAAGTCTCATGATTATTACAGTCCTAGCTTTTACAATTGGTCTGGTGGTATAACTGGTGTCTTCAACTGTCTTCTTCCACTACCCATTCCATATTCCCATTGCCCTCAGCAAGCCCCTTAGCTGGTCAAGATTCCTTGCCTGGTGGAATGAGCCAGTTCTTCATTCCTGGAGCCATTAGCCATAATGGGCCATTAGCGGTCCTGTTTGTGTGGATTGCTGAAATTTCCATCGACTTTAGGCACAGGACATGGGAGTACTAAGAGACATCCCTGGAAAACTCTCACACTACAAACCCTCATTTTGTGTAATAGTGAAATTCCCTCTTAGTCAGTATCTTTCATCCCAACCATGACTGTAACCCCCTTCTTTCCCTGTTGCTTCAGTATCACAAGTAACTGATGGTGGCAATCTCAACTACAAGTTCAGTGGAATCATTGTTGCATCCCATGATGGGAGCGTCCATCCATTTTGAAGTAAGATATTTGGACAAGGAGAGCCTAGTTCATAGGGACGGGAAGCAAGAATTGTACTAGTGGATTAGTAGGGGACTAATGAGAGGGTCCATACACTTTTTCACTCCTTGATTTCCCAACCTGTGAATCCAGGCTATGGGAGAAGCAGCACCATATTTTGGATGCTGATTTAGACCATATACCACATCATGGAGGACATTGTCTGCCCTTTCAGAAGTTGTCATCTAGCTGGCTCTGGAACTGAGTCATCACAAGGCCATTCCACTCTCTGTTAGGCCAGCTGCTTCAGGGTGGTGGGAAACATGGTCAGTCCAGTGAATTTCATGAGTATTAGCCCATTGCCATATTTTTTTTGGTGTGAAATTAGTTTTTTGGTCAGAAGGGATGCTATGTAGAATACTATGGTGATGAATATGGTGGTTCATAATTCTTTAGATAGTAGTTTTAGCAGAAGCATTTCAGGCAAGGAATACAAAGCTGAACCTATATTCAAAATCAGTGTCTATTCCTGTGAGAACACAACAATGCCCATTCTATGACAGAAGTGACCCAACACAATCAAGTGAAATCCAGGTAGTTTGCTAGTCCCCCTGAGAATTGGGGCCATATTGTGTTGATATCTGATGTAGCCATATCCACATTAGCCATGTTAAGTGGTTGGTGGTCTGTATTTCTGAGCCGATGGATGACCTCCATCCCAGCTGGCATGGCCACTTTCTTCAAGAACCCATTCAGCTAAAATAGGGGTGTTTGGGGAAAAATGCAAACTGGCATCCACAGAATTAATAATCTTATTCGCCTGATTGTTAAACTTTTTCTCTGCTAATGTTGCTCTTTGGTGAGCATTCAAATAGGACACAAATACCTTTGCATCGTGTTCCCATTTGCAGAGGTCTACACACGTGCTTCTTTCCCATTTATCACCTGTTTTATGATCATGTCACTTCCATGGACATCCAGATAAGCCATTAACCATGGTAGATTCATTAAGTGTGCCACCACATCTCCTTCAATGCAAAATGAGCAAGATTCTTTGGCATTTTATGCAGTCATATCCTCCAGTAAATGCCTTTTCGCTTATGGTTATCCAATTGCAGTTACTGTAGTTTAGATCCATGAACTCTGACTAATATAGACATTGCTATGAGGAATTAGGTTTCATGCAATAAAATTTAAGGAAATTATGGAGCTTTGAACTTTATTATCTGGTTTGGTAAGGGTAAAGGCGGTTGTGACCCCAATTTATACCATAGAAGGGGAATATGAAATGAAATAAAATACAAAGCAGCTAATTAAGTGGCCCTCTGAAATACTGAGCCTTTTGAAGGCCTGGCTTTTGAGGATGTCACTGCTGCCTTAGAAATATCTGAAGGTTGTAAGAAATTCAAATATAGTGGAGTGAGGTGAAAGCTTTTGATGGCGCTGGAAAGCTTAAGAAAAAAAACCATATGCTCAAATCCCTAACTTCCTGGCTGAAGTGCTCCAATAAAATACGGAAGCCAGTCTATATGCAGATAGAATTTCCTATCTAATGCAGCCAGAGGGCTAGTTAGCCAAATCCTGTAGTCAGCACCTGAGCCTGTGAATTACCAAATTACAGAATCAATTGATTTCCTAGCATGGACAGGTCACTTCTGTCCAATTTGGTCACTGAAATAAAAAACATGTGAACTCCAGAATAAGAAAATTGAGAGAATTAAAAGAACTTCAAGCCCAAAATGTCTGCTGAGCCTCCCCTTGCTGACAGAAAGTTCTTCTTTGTCCAGTAAGATTGTTTCTCTTTTGCTCAAATACCCAGTAATTCCCTTGCTTGGGAAACTTAAATTACAAGAAGAAGCTAATTTTCCTAATGCTACCACCTCACACCCATAATGTTTCCAGACCTGTAACTAGAGTAAGATACATCAATTACTCCAAACTGGGGTGAAGGATCAAATATCAATTCAAAAGTAGCAGGAAAATGTTTATACCTTAAAAGAACTTGCAACTGTGGAACTTTGAACTGTAGAATTTCTAAAGTAAAATTCTAAAGAATTTGCGTGGGAATGGATTATGATGATGTTCATCCAAAGAGGAGATACTTAATTTTAGATCTGATTAAATTAATTAATATGGGTACATTTCTTAGGGATTCTGTATTCAATGTAATGGCCCCAGCACCTTCACACAAGACTGAATTTATTGTTTTAAAGGAGATTTTATACATTAGCAGCCAATCAATTTCACCATAGGAAGAATGCATTTCTAGAAAAGCAGAACTAAATAGTAGTTGGGAATGTGGGGGAGGCAGAGTGCAGAGACTGTGGAGACTAGGGGTGGGTAAGAGAATCAAGGTATTGGATGAAAGGAAGAGAATTAACAATTGCTGGATCCTGGCTTCATGCCTTATGTAGGAGCTTCAGACACCACCTCTAAATTTCACTTGGCACTCCCAATAACCATACGATGTGGGCCCTACAGAAATGAGGAAACTGAGGTTCAGGGATATTAAGTAACTTGGTCCAATTATACAGTTACCACATAGCAAAGACCTGACAGGAGCACAGGACTCCAGCGCACAGAACAGGGGAGTCTACGGGGGGGGAGGCTACTTCTCTCACATGTCAGTGCCAGACCCTGCAGTTTGGACCTACAGGCAAAGCTCAGCTGAATTAGATGCAGCAGAAAAAAAGCTGTGCCATTGTCTGACTATGCCACCAGAGGGCACAGGTTCGGAAGGTCTCTTTACAGACAGTCTGCCTGTTTCTTCAACAGCAACTATCTATAGCCAAGAGAGCAGACTGTGTGTTGGAACCTGCAGTGAGCCCGGACTGGCCTCAGCGTCAGTAGACCTGAGTTTTCTGCTGCCTTACGGTGAGACACACGCACCAGTGACTGTCTCATGTGTGAGATGTGTCCTTTCCTGTTCAGTTTGGGCAGTGGGTACCAGGTAGTTAGAAAGATCCTGTGGATCCAGGACTGATATTGAGCACTCACGTCTGAAACCCCAGTGTTGAGTGTGGTACTTTTCACATAATAGAAGCTTTGTCTATGTTTGGTTGAGAAGAAACAATGTCACAGCAAAATCACCCTCTGTCTAGTCACTGCGTTGCCAAAATCCCCCAGTGGGATTCTAATGAGGTACGAAGTCTGCATTGTTTAACCTGGCTGTAGTCTAGGTTTATCTCAACCTTGCCTCTGTTTCCCCAGCCCCCAACCCTTACTCAGCATATACACATCCTTAATGTAGTCCTGAAGCAGTCAGTATCTGAAATTACATGTTTCATATCAGTCCTTGCACATGGTAAATGCCCAATAACCAGGAGTTGCTGCTTACTACTACTACTAGAGCTAGAAACTGGCAGGGGCAAGGTTGAATGCGCGTCTCGTTAAGTCCGGTGCTCTTTGCTCCCACTGCTTCTTGGCAGCACACAGTTCGGTACACAGTGAATACTGGATAGTGAAATCTTCGATTCCAATGTCTGTGGTTACTTCCTGAATCCTGCTTGGGAGTCCTGAGGCCTCGGAAATGACACAGGGGATTTAAGTGACCCGAGGACAGGACTGCTTTTCCCTTGAGCAGGCATAAATGTGTGCAGCATCAGAAGTCCAAAATGAGAAGCTACCTCTGACATCATCTCCTCCAAGCCAATGAGTACATGATTTCTACAGCACCTATTAGAGAGGCTCACCCAGTCTCTGTCAGTATGCCACCTTCCCTCAAGAGGCTGCCTAGCCCAACACTGTTTGTCCCTGGTGAATAGAATAGTGTTCATCCTGCTGCCTCTTGGCATTTTCACCCATGGGCCTCATCTTGCTTGCTGAAAGGACACATGTCCTGGTATGACCCTGGATACCACCAACTCTGACAGTCCTCTTTCTCTTGTGCTATAGATGCAGGATCCTACAGCCAAAGCAATCACTCAAAGTTCCATGTTTATCATTTTTTACTTTGTTCCTTTTGGCCTTGGTTTCATACATTGGCTTTGAAAATATCCCAGGGTTAATTCAAGGGTTAATGAGTAACTAAGAGTGCTCTACTTTTGCAATACAGGGTATGTTATAAAGATGGAGAGATTTTGCTTTCTGAGAGATGCAAGTGGCTTCTTCAGCACATGCTGTAAGTACTTTTTTTCTCCTTGGGAACTTTGAACTTATTTATCAGTGAGCCAGAATTCCATAAAACCATGTGCTCCAAATTCCTAGCTCCAAAGGCCAAGGTCTAAGTGTGGTCATCTGATAACTGACCTTCTACCAGACTCTGTGACTTACAGCCAGAGGATTCTGGTAAAAAATTGGAGATTGGATGGAGTGATAGAAGCAGTGAGGTGAGGTGGGAGAAATAGGAAGCAGTGCAACCTGCTAGCAGCTGGTGAAGTAGCTCAGGTCATGAACTGTGGCAGTGGCAGCAGAAAGGAGAAGTTTTGAAAAGTATTTAGAAGGTAGTACTCACAGGGCAGCACCATGACTCATTAGATGTGGTGAAAGAGAATGAAGGAAGCCCCTGGGATTACTCCCAGGTTTCTGACCTGGGAATCTCAGTAGATAGCGATGTGGAACGAAGATGAAGCGTAAAGCTTGAGGGCTAGGGAGATGATATCTTTGCTTTTGGAAACTTTGCCATTTCCAAATTGGAACTGACATACGTGTAGAACATTCTGGTGGATTTATCCAGTAAGAAGCTGGACAAATGGCTGGGAATGCAGAAAAGAAATCTGGACTACAATGTGCGGTTTTGTTTGGTGGCAACTGAGTTCTTGGGACAGCATGAGATCACTCAGGAAGAAAATGGAGGGCTGAGGAAGGAGTCCTGCTCTGACTCCCTGTGTTTCTTCCTTCTGATCAGTCATGGACATTACAGCTAATTTCCCTTTCTCCACAGCCACACACTCTTCCAGGCTCAGAGAATCCCTCATCATATTTTCTGGCTCCTGCTCTAATAATCAAAAAAATAACATGAGTGAGAGTAAGCATAATAGTGTTAAGATGTCCTGCAATTTAGAAATGACTATTTAGATGATACTGATAGATCTGAAATGCAAAAAAGTTATACTTTCATCTTCCTGTTGTTTTGCAATACTCCTGTGGCTTCCATGTTTTGCATGAATGCATGAATTTCAGCTCTTGAACGTGTACATTGTTCCATAAACCACCACCCTTCCATTCCAACTAAGCATATCTTATGAAAATTATCTCTATCTCTTACCCAAAGAAAAGTATAGGTACTTTCTAGTCTCATCTCTTACAGATTTTATCTTAAGAAAAATGCCAAATTAAAAAAAACTCAAAACTCAAATCTAAAACAAAAAATTCAGCAAGAGTGCTAGTTTTCTTTAAGGATTCCTCACTCTCCAAAAGGCTGCCTCTGGCTCAAATAAAATTCAATTTCCATAAATTTAATTTACTGAGTTTTCATATGCCAGTATTACATCTAAATGACAGTCCACGCCAGTATTTCTGTGGCCCCAGAAAGCCACCTCTCCTACTCCTTGCTCCTGTTAGATGTGTCATTCGTTTTTCAGAGGAGAGCAGCTTCCACACGGCCCCCGGTGAGTACACCCTTAAATATTTTCTATTGTTTGCTAATCACGATGGGGGGTTATTACATGTTCTGGCTCAGAGTTTTCATCCAGCTAAGATGCCCCAATGGTTCTCTCACTTCATGTCTTATAGATTACCTTCCTTCCAAAATGCCACTGTTTCTCTATGTGGCTCTCTTGCTGCTTGGGCTGCATTGTGCACCACCTAACAGCTCTGAAGGCAAAGTAACTACCTGCCATTCCCCCCAACAAAACGGCACTCTTTATACGATGTCATCCATCAATGCTGACTTTGCATTCAACCTGTACCGGAGGTTCACTGTGGAGACCCCAGACCGGAACATCTTCTTATCCCCTGTGAGCATTTCTGCAGCTTTGGCCATGCTTTCCCTTGGGGCCCGCTCCAGCACCCAAACTCAAATCCTGGAAAGCTTGGGGTTCAACCTCACAGACACTCCAGTGACAGAGATCGAACAGGGCTTCCAGCACCTGATCTGTTCACTGAATTTTCCAAAGGAAGAGCTAGAGTTACAGATGGGAAATGCTCTCTTCATTGGGAAGCAGCTGAAACCACTGGCAAAGTTCTTGAATGATGTCAATAGCCTCTATGAGACTGAAGTCTTTTCTACCGACTTCTCCAATGTTTCTATAGCCCAGCAGGAGATCAACAGTCATGTGGAGAAGCAAACCAAGGGGAAAGTTGTGGGCATCATCCAAGATCTCAAATCGGATACCATCATGGTCCTGGTTAACTATATCCACTTTAAAGGTACAGCTCTGAGATACGCTTTTCGAGTTCAGTGTTCCTGTATTTGGTGCAGCACTGGGTGGAGCTCATGGTCTCTTCTCACTGGCATTACTAGGTATCCCTCATACCAGTGACCTGCTCTACTGGACATAGCTCTGTGTAGTTTTGGATCTCCCAGGAAGGACTCAACTCTGCAAACGAGCCGAGGACATTTCTAGGGAGAGGGCACTTTCAGAGATGTGAGTGACAGTGGTATAAATATCCTGCTCACATCAGCTAGAAAATCATGGTTTTAAAAAGATTTGGTGAGGTAGGACAAGCTTGCAGTTGGCAGAGAAACAGATTTGGGCTTAAGCCCTACCGTGACTCTCACTGGCTGTACATTCTTGGGCATTTTACATAAATGTTTCTATCATGTACCATGCACCCACTATGTACCAAGCATCATGCTACCTGTATGGTTTACACACATTGTAATCCTCACAAGTGCCCAGGTTCACAAGGTTAATGAGTTTCAGAGCTGGTATTCCCACCCAAGTTTGTCTGATTCTATAGCTGGTGCTTGTAACAACAAGAAACATGTGACTCTTTTCTGAAGGTGCTGTGCCCAAATGATTTCTCCTGGTTCTACAGCACATGTCAGCCATGTTTGGTGGAGGAGTGAACAATTCTTGGCCACAGACCATACACTTGTAGATGGATAAAATGGCAGAACAGATCTGTGGTCTCATTTCACCCTGTGTTTTGGATGTGCTTATACCTTTTTGCAGAAGAGGAAATTGTGGCTCTGATGGGTCTAGTGTAACTATAGTGGTTTTGAACACAGACGGAACATTTGTTAAACATGGTGTCCAACAGCCCTGGGTGTGACTCTTGGCTTCTGCTACTGGCTAGCAGGGAGACCGTGTAAGGTCACTTTATCTCCCTGATCCTTAGTTACTCACTTGTCTAACTGGTTGACAGTAGGTCCCTACATTTGTGGTGGTCTTAATTACTAGACGAGATGACTGATGGAAAACCTTACATTAGCACTAATTCTGGCTAAAACAAACAACTCCTTCTCTCTCTATTTTAAGCCCAGTGGGCAAGTCCTTTTGATCCATCCAAGACAGAAGAGGGTTCCAGCTTCTTAGTGGACAAGACCACAATGGTTCAAGTGCCCATGATGCACCAGATGGAACAGTACTATCACCTGGTGGATGCAGAGCTGAACTGCACAGTGCTACAAATGGATTACAGCAAGAATGCTCTGGCACTCTTTGTCCTTCCCAAGGAGGGCCAGATGGAGTGGGTGGAAGGGGCCATGTCATCTAAAACACTGAAGAAGTGGAACCGCTTACTGAATAAGGGGTAAATATTTAGATGATATGACAAGGGGAGGGTGGGCAGAATGGTGTAGGTGAGACTGAGTTCCCAGAAACACAGAAGCAGAGTCACCCTGAACCACTTAGCATCTGCGTGATGACCACTAAGGTATAGCAAGAGCATACTCAGTGCCAGTCCCTTTGCTGGGCAGTATACATCATTTTGTTAAGCACACAACAAATCTGCAAATGAGATAGTATCATAGGCAATTTTCAAATAAGAAGTCAAGTCTGGAAAAATAAAATGAACTCTTCAAAGTTGGCCAACTAGTAAATTGATGCCTTCCCAAAAGTCAACTAGAACTTGGGGGATGGGTAGGATTTTGATATTAAGAGAGGAATGGGCAGTCACACACGTCTGGGAGTGTTATATGGAAATCTATGAAATTCCTTAAGGGCTACCCATTGACATTCACGCCTCTGGCTCCCCAACGTCAGAGATGTTTCTTTTTTATTATAAGTGAGTCACATGTCTCACCCCTGAGATGTTTCTTTTGTATTATAAGTGAGTCACATGTCTCTCCTTCCACTGTTGCAGTTCAGCGTTGACTGAACCAGAGCTCTTTCCTGCCCGGATAACTTCTGAGGGTTTTGGTGCTATGACCTGCATAGCAATGGTTGTGAGTACAGGGGGAGAGCAGAATCCAATATAATATAGTGGCAGAGAGAAGGAGGGAAACATGAGCTTGATGTGCTGATAGACATATGTTCTCTCCTCATTTCCCCACAGATGGATTGACTTGTTTGTTCCAAAGTTTTCCATTTCGGCCACATATGACCTTGGAGCCATCCTTCTGAAGATGGGCATCCAGGACGCTTTTGCTGATGATGCTGATTTTCCTGCACTCACAGGGGACAAAGGTCTTAAACTTTCCAAGGTAAGTTGGTTAATTAGATTCCTTAAACGTATGAGCTGGAAGAGCCATTGATAGTCAGTTAATTTAACTATCTTATTTTATCAGTGAGGATTCTGATGCCTAGAAAGGCTGACTGACTCATCCTAGGCCAGACTGACTCCAGGGTCATTCTCATTATCCCCAAACAAGTCACTGTAACTGTTACTTCCATCTCTGAGTTTCATGTCCTAAAATTATCCTGATAGAAGAACTTAATGATCAGAATTGACGCTGGTGAGATACGCTTCTGGAAGAAGTGACGGGGTGGGGGAAAGCTTAAGAAGGAACTTCTAGAGGCAGAAAGCCACAGAGAAAGAGGTGGTTTCCTGAGAGCTAGCTCTCGGATCACCGGAGATTCATTAACTATCCTTAGCCAAGTAGCCTTCACATTCAAGCAGCATCAGCACAATACAGTTAAAGAGGTAGCCCCATCCTTCCTTTTCCTTTCCTGCTTCCAAACAGGTCCAAAGACTTTCCCTGTTTCTTCAGGGAGTCATTAGTGTTTGTTATCTGCCCCCACAGGCCGCTCACAAGGCTCTGCTGCACATTGGTGAAAAGGGAACCGAAGCTGTAGCTGTCCCTGAAGTTAGATTCCTGGATCAGCCTGAGATAACTCCCCTTCATCCTATCATTCAATTTGACAGATCCTTCCTGTTGTTGATTTTGGAGAAAAACACCAGGAGCATTCTCTTCCTAGGGAAAGTTGTGGACCCAACGGAAGTGTAGTTGGAAAAGAGGCTATTGGCTAATTGCATGTGTTTATTGAAAAGGGAAATAAATAAATAGTATAGCCTAATGTGATCGATGTGGGCTTGGATGTGTTTTCCTTTGTGCAGGGGTAGAGATTGGACCCTAGCTGAACTGCATAGGGTGTGAAAGAATCACTCCTGTGACCAAATATTCAGATAGTCAGTGAGTGACTCATTAGTCAAAGCACAGGAAGGCCCCATATTCTTTTACTTTGTCAGAATAATTCTCACATTAGTTAGCTCCAAAGAATTTGGGCCAGCAAATATTCCTTCTCTGCCCTCTGGGGAGTAGTTGAAATGCAGGTCATGCCCTCATATCCCAGTATTCCAATAACAAGATCAATGAAATGTAAAACAACAAAGATATGGTGGTTTATATGTGAACTTATCAACAGCCCTCCTTCCATCCTATCAGAACAGTTCTTTTGTCTCCTTGCCAGAACTGCCATTGGTGAGTTGTAAAAAGGTGCTTTGATTATGGTGCTGAGTCGCGGACTGAGCTACTGCTAGAGATGTGGCTTTGTGACCTAACAAGCATGAGACAAAAGAGCAAGAGAGGCAGAAATCAACTTCCCTATATATGCCCACCCTCCCTTCCTCCAAAAAAAAAAAAGTTTCCTTATTGCTAATTTATAAGCCGGAAGTGGAGAATGAATATTCATTTGTATCACATCTCACAGCCCTTCCTTTTCTATATCCTAATCAGACTCCTTTCTAAGTGTTGCACCCCTTTCCCACTTGTTGCAGTACAAATCTGTCTTTTTGTCTCTACTCCCACTGAAGTTTGATGACTCGCTTTCCCCAGATCCTTCAACAACTTTCTCTTGCTTTTGCATGCCACCCCACCCCACCCACCAAACTAGATTTCATCTCTGGCAATATGTGTTCAAAGCCCCAGTATTAGAATTCAGTACGCATATACAGCACAGTGAGTGTTACTGGTGTATTATCTGAAATTTTAGCCCTAAGGTGAAATTCTTCAGTGACAAGGAAATAATATGTGCACAAGTACTTTTGCGGTATTGTGCTTCCAGATTGAAATAAATATGTATGTTTAGAAAGGTATGTAGTCCACAGATATTCTACTATTTTCTTATTAGACCTATTTGCATGGAGGCTTGCTTCCCTTGGTATAGTTTGCATTTTGGTTTCATAGATAAATAATTGAAAGCCCAGAGAGGGAAAGTGACTTGTGGTACCAAAAATTCATTGCTAACATGGAGTTTGGTTTCACTGAAGTTACATTAAAATTCTGGCTTTGCTACTTGGACTGTTTTACTATTTTTGACAAGGTGTTTTAACTCTATACCTCATCTGTAAAATGGGAACCCTTATAATATCCAGATCATCAGCATTTTGTAAACATTCCATGCTCCTTGTTAAATACTAGTCGTTATTCCTGTTGGTGAGCATCAGACAGTGGGCTGATGTCAGAGTACGAAAGAACAGTGTTATGGATCAGAGGGAATTTACCAACTCTATTTACCCGTCTCCACTGTGATAGAATTATAGCCACATGGCTTCCCTACTGTTCTCACAAGTACAGCTACCACTACTGTGGTTTGTGTACCACATTCATAAATGAATAAAATGTTAAATTTTAGTCGGAAGTCGGTAAAATTCAAGATGAAAGTTTTCATAAACAAATTTATAGATCCTCTGAAAAATCCTTAGACTTTCTTGAAAGTTCTGTGGACTGCAGATTAAAAACACTGCCTTGGCAGAAAAATTGGATGGAAAAGACCTTGATATCTAAATACCCACATGAAGAGAGCTACCCACTGACCTAAAATGCTTATCCCAAATAATCAGGTGAGCAGAAATAAATTTATATCTTCTTTAAAAAATGGATTTATTGCTGAGTCTACTTACTAAGCAGCCTGGCTGTGTTAGTCTGATCAGGCTGCCATAACAAAATACCACAAACTGGTTGGCTTAAACAAAAGACATTTATTTTCTCACAGTTCTGGAGGCTAGAAATCTATGATCAAAGTGCTGAAAAGTTCCGTTTCTGGTGAGATCTTTCTTTCTCGTTGAAGCTTTTGTGCTACATCCTCACATGGCCTTGCGTCCAATGTGTATGCACGTGGAGAGAGAGAGTGAGCTCTCGGGTATCTCCTCTTATAAAGATACTAGTCTTATCAGGTCAGGGTCCCACTCTGATGACCTAATTTAACCTTAATTATTTCCTTACTCCAAATGGAGTCACACTGAGGGTTAGCAATCTCAGCATTCAGTCCATACTACTAACCTTACTCCAAGTAATAGAGAAATTGGTAGCACTTGTGAGGATGTTGCAGGTTATATTCTCTAGAAAGCAGCCTCTGAAACAGAGTTTATTATATAGGATGTTTATTAGGGAGTGTCCCTGGGATTAATACCTTGAAATGTCTAAGCCTTCACACACACACACACACACACACACACACACAACTCAGTCGGTCACTGGGTATGGGCCAGATGTTTCTCTGAAACCGAGACTGTCCTTAAAGGGGCTAAAAGCTGAAGACTTTCTACAGACAGGACCCCTAGAATCTGGAACAAGAAGTCTTTCCTGGAAAAGCAATCTCTATGGTGCACTTCCATGCCCAATACAGCCACCCACAAAGTAAATAGAAAGCAATAAACAAAAGCAGTCAGAATGCTTTATCAGTTTTGGAAGAGGAGCCATGAGCTTCCAAGAAGCCAGTTGGGAAGCTGAAACTTGGTATCAGAACCCCAACATTTCTATCAGAAGGTGGGGGATCACAAATCCTCTTAATGATGCATTCATTCACTCATTCATTCAACAGACATTCATGGTAGGCCTGCCGTATGTCCGGATCTGTTCCAACAAAACGAAACAAGAATCTTCATGGAGCTTACATTCCAAGTGTGGAGAGACAGACAGGAAACTAAATAAGTAAAATAAACTATGCCTTACATGGTGAAAAGTACTATGGAGAACAATAAAGCAGGAAAGAAGGCAAGTACAGCAATTCAGATATAATGGTAACTGCAGGCTGGAGAAGTAAGGGTTACTCTTTCTGTCTGATACACCACACTTCCCAGAAGTGGAGATAAAATGCCTCCACAAGGTCTAAGTTGATTTTTGCTCCCCCTATCACTTATTTATTTCATTGCAAATTATTAACTTTGCCAAGTATGATTTTGCAAGGGCTTGTCTCCATCTGCAGCCCTCTTCCCCCATCCTGTGAGACAACTATCTTATTTACTTTCCATCTCCCTTCTGCCCATCCAGTAGTCCTGCTTTTGCTGATTGTGGGCCCAGGACAAGAATAACTCCCCTGATGTTGCTCCTCCTATTCCCTGCCTCTTATCCACTTTCTTATTTTTTCAAGAAACTTGACTAATATCACAAGTGTGAGTTTTGAAGTCAGAGGAACCTGAGTTTAAACCTTGGTTCTACCCCTTACTGACTATGGGAACGTTGGAAAGTCCTTTAATTCCTGAATAACATGAAATGGCTCTAATGTTAGGGAAACAATCTGAAGTTGTTGTATAGATTGAGAGATTGGCACCCGAACACAAATCAGTGCAACTCTTCTCAGGCACGGTATCCAAAGGCTCAGATCAGCCAAGAATTAAAGTGTGAGTATACCACTGAACAGTGAAGCCCGACTGCTAATGTGCTCATGAAAAGAAGAGTGGAGAGTGGAAGAAGGAAGTCATAAAGTCTATACACGATCTCAAGACCAGCTGCAGAACTGAAGGCTTTGGTTTGTACAAATGGGTTCTTTCTCCAGGTCATAGGTTTATACCTATATATTTTAATTGATATGTATTGTCTTTGTTCCAAAACTGTACATAAACTGTTATTATGGTGGCTAAATTTAGTCTATAGGTTGAAGAATATTGAACTATAATCACAATGAATCTAGAAGAGGTATCAGCATTCCCCAGAGATCTTGGAATTGGAGTTCAGTGAAGTGACTGAGATGATCTTGGCAAGTGACAGAATTTGATTTGTGTTGTATATGAAACGATTGTATCTTTTTAGGCAGGGTCAATTTTTGAAGTGTGTGAGAAGAAAGCTTTGGGCAGCCATAGGCATGGATTCTAATAGATACATACTGTTTTGTAGCAATCCACCAACAACTTTCCCCTTCCTGATTTCTTTTTAAAAACTGCCCTTGCCTTTCATGTTAAGTCTACTTAAATAAAGGCAATGCTCTGCTCTAACCAAGAGGTAGGCACATTCTGACTGAAGTTAGGATAATCTAAAGCCGTGTGTCCAGATTTTGCATCTTAATTATAGGGACAAAAAGACTATTAAATGTCTGAGGTCTAGGCAAAAATCCTGTTGTACCCTAATCAGACCAATCATGCCACACCACCACTTTTGGTTATTCCTAACCCAACTTCTCAGTTTCTTATTGGCCCCTTGAGCCCTTAATATTACTATAACAAATTCACTTTTGCTTAAGTTGGACTGAGTTGTTTTCTATTTTTCCTAACTTTTAAAGAATTTAGGCAGAAAGACCATATATAATAAACCAATGATATACATGGGTACTAGCACCAGAGCATGGGTTTAAATTCTGATCCCACCACTTACTCAACTCTCTGGGCCTCACTATTTGTGGAAAGGAGATGATAAAAATGGCACCTCAATCATGCAGTTATTGTATTGTAAGTGCCCAATAAATGTTATCTTTTACTATTATGTAACTGATTACATTTTCCTAAATATTCCTACCCTTTTGTCCCTCACTACTGTGTTATAAGGAGGAATACCCTGTTGTATGGGCTCTTCCCACACATGGAGTTTTATTATGCAGATTGGAATAATAAGCAGAGCTGCAAAACTGAGAGACCTTAAAAAAGGTTAGCTCAATTCACATCAGAAAGGACCAGGAGCTACTCCTAGGCAAAGGTGAATATTTCAAATTAATTTTCAGTGATTTTTGGCTTTTGACCTGGAGTCTTTTGAATCTAACATTTCTATGTAACTGAGCAGAGATAACAAGTTTTGCTTTGTATTGATTAAAATTAGGTCTATGTGTGATGTGGAGGCATGTTCTTCCTCTGATCTTGTTACTGAGAGCTTGAGCTGAAGCATTCTGTTGTATCACCTCTGCTCAATAACTTGTTTTCTAAGCTATGTTGGTGAATACCTTCTCTATCTATACTCATTTCCCTATTGTTTTCTGTAATCACCAACACACATATAGTTAAATTTCTTACCTGAATAGTCCCTATGGCTCATAACTCACTAGCCTGCCTGGGAGTTCTAAAGCATTTTGTCAGTAAAAGTAAAGCATTTGGCAGTTAAATAAAACTAGTGTTTACTTTGAAAACACTGAGGACCTTTAAACTCTCACCATTAAGCACTTTACCCCTTTTGCATCTGGCAACATCAAGTTTTGCTTCAGACAGGGTTCAAATGCCTCTCTGGTGCTAGAGCAGGATGACCTGAGAAAAATCTCTGCTTTTATTATAAGCGACTTTAACTATTAGAGGGACATCTTTTCCTGTTGCTTACCCTAATTTATGTTCCCAGAATTTACTAATTCTGAGGGAGCCTAGATTTATTCAGCCATGGATATTTCTCTTTCGAGGACTGCAACCCATTTACTCCTCAAAAATGCTGTATGTGTAGGGAGAGGATTTGAAAATCAACTACATTTTTCATATTCAGGCATACATGCAAAGCATTTAACATGAGTTGACCCTGAGTAATGGGGTTTAGAAATGTGGATGTTGCGTTTTTAATTTTTATTTCATACATTTCATTTTTAAAAATTAAGGAACATGTGACACTTTTACAGCTATACATTTTTTAAAGCTATAGATCCTTCCTTCTGAAGCCATTTTATTAGGGCATCTATGATAATAATAGTTAATATATTTAGGTATTTTTATCCAGATTAAATTCCATGGTCATTCATGACAATGATGTTCTTGCCTATGTCCTTGGCTCTTCTTACCCTTTTTTCATTTTGGTACACTTATAAGGGAAAGTGCAACTTTAATAAAGTCCAAACTTCTACCATGCCTGCACGTGAAAAGATGGGGAAAATAAAGCTAGCAATAATAAATTAATGACTGCACACTTGAAGTATACTTTTAAATCTGCCAAGTGTCTTATTACTTGTTTCGAATCCTTTCAATCTTCCATCCACCCAGGTGACTCATTCTCTCTCCTCAAAACTCCAACGTCATTTTACCATCTCCCTCAGCCTCACTCTCAGTTGATAACTTTGTTTCCTATTTTGCGGAGAAATCAAAACAATTACAGGGGAATTTTCATGTACTCTTATCACTACTTCCATCCAATTAGCAGCATCTACACCCATATACTCTAACTTATTGCTTATTACAAAGATAATATTTCCTTAATCTTCTCTAAAATCAATCTTTTTTTTGCACCAGATCATATATTCTATTTATTACTTTTGATTAAGCTCTAGCTTTTCTTTCTTCTGACTCTCATAAAATCATCTTTTTTTGCTCTTCAGTGGATACAAATTTCCTTTATTTCTTCCATCATAAAAAAGAATATTACTTGATTTCATGTCCCTTTTAACTGACGCCACATTCTTACTTCCACGGCAAAACTTAAAAATTTATTAATACCTGATGTGTCCAGTTCCTCTCATCCCATTCTTTATCCACCACTTCATGAATGTGAATACACACTCACATTTATTTATAATTCGCTTGCAGTGGAATAATTATATTGATAGTGTACATTTTACTGAGTTTTCACAAAGGTACACACCCTTGAAATCCAACTTCAAGTGGAGATATAAAACATTTGCATCTATCCAGGAAGTTTCCTCATGTCCTTTTGCAATCAATCTTCACCTCAAACGGTTGTTTCCATTTCCACAGTGATAGATTAGTTTAAACTGTTCTTAAATTAAATATAAATATACTCAATAGACCATAGACAGTTTCTTTTAGGTCTAGCTTCTTTAGCTCTGTATTTTCAGGCCTGAAATTCCATGGGTGGCCTTAATGTTTTTGAGACTCACAGTGCCCCAAATTGTTAGTTGTAAGTTCTTCTGCTTTCACCATGTATGCTCCCCAACCAGCAGGTAAAATTCCACACCTGGATAGTCCCCCGTTAGCAGGACCAGCTGCAACCCTACGTGATCCTCAACCTAAGGGATTTTACTTCCCTGGCAGCCCATGAAACTATCCAAACAAGGTACAGTTTATTTTAAGGGTACTGTTTTTTACGTAATTGTATTTTAAATATTTTTCATGTAATGCCTATATAATTGTATAGTAATGATTTTGGATTCAAATAGATGTCTCTCTGCCTGTTTGAATACAAGTTTCTGTAATGGATGAGAATGTCTTATTTAGTTTGTACCACCAGGCCTCACATACATAGTAAATGCTCAATACATAATGATTTTTTTGAATAATTAAATTTGATACAAACATTGTGTTTAAATAGTAGGTTGCAGGGAGTGGTTATAGGTTATGAGGATGGAAAATAAAGTGCTGGCTCACCACCAAAATTTTTGAGGAGTGTGCTAGGAACTTTGAAACTAATTTAGTAACCTTATTAGGGTATCATCATATTATTTCAGCAGGGAGAGTGTGTAGGCCCAGACTCTCATGAAAGCACTGAATTTACTTCTTTATTCCCTAGAAATCATTCAGCATATGCCTGAGAAAAGCACCATTATTTTCCTAGTGGGAATGTACATTTTTAGTTTGCAATAGTGGAATGCAGTTGCATAGAAATATTCCTGTTGAAAATAAACTATGCATGGCTAATTTTTTAGTTTAATCAACTGTAGAGGCATTGTATGCACATATAAAAATACATATATATGTATATATATGAAAGCTCATTATATAGGGCTCTTTAGGTACTCTACTTTATCCTGACTGTGCTTCACTAAAAACCTTTAGAAACTCTAATGTTGCTGCCTCTCTCATTCCTGTTACTGGTAATTTCTGTCTTCTCTCTTTCATTTTTGATCAATTAATGGTAACTCAAAACACCAGCTTGTTTTCATTAACTTCTATTGTTTTTTGATTTTCTATTTCATTGCTTTCTATTCTGACTTTTTTTCTGCCTAATTTGGATTTAATTTTCTCTTCTTTTTTTCTGGTTTCTTAAAGTAGAATTTGAGGTCATTGATATGAGACTGCTTGTCTGCAAAGGGCCAGACAGTACATATTTTGGGCTTTGTGGGCTGTATGTTCTGTGTTGCAACTTCTCAACTCTGCCATTGTAGTGCAAACATGGTTAGACAATACATAAATGAATGGATGTGGTTCTATTCTACTAAAACTTTATTTATGGAAACAGATGGAAAGCTGCATTTGCCTGTGGGCTACAGTTTGCTGACTGGTAGTCTATGGGTTAGGTTGAGAAGATGATCATTTAGATTCTTCTTAAGTTAGAATTGAAGGTAGGCAAAACTTCAGCTTTAATTAGATTGGGTTCATCTGTGAAGAGCCCAACTCCCAGACTCTTGCACCATAGTTACTCCTTTGATTTTGTGAGTATTTGATTTGGGAGAGGTTTAGGTATAGTTTCCAATAATTTTTGCCTTTGGATTCAAGTTTGCACAGCCCAGAATTCAAGCACTGCAGGAATGTCCTTACTGCAATTTTCCCTTTCTTCTAGCAGCTCTTCCAGTAACATCATTTGGGAAAATATTCATGATGAGTTTGTGGAATGAATTATTGCGCCACACAATTTCTTATTGTTTCTGAGACTTGTATAGTTTGCAACATGTCCTGCCAGTCCACACTGTTGTCTAACACTTGGCACACTTCTCATGTCTTGGCAAAACCTCTCCATCTACGGAAGGCCTGATCTTTCATTATCGTATCCCTATCAGCCACACCTGCCCTCATCTATGGGAGATGTCATAGCTCTTTGCTTACCTAAGAAGGGCTCATTACTCTCTACACTTTGGTACATCTAGTCTTTCTGTGACTTCTATTGCTAGTTACAAAAGAGAACATAGCTTTCCCATTTTTTCTATTACCCTAACAAAAAATAAGTTCCATTCTCTCAGAAATCTAAAGTTTCTCTTTCATCACTTCACCAAAATTGCTATCATAAGTGTCACTAATGGCCTCTATGGTGCTAAATCCTATTAAATTCACAGTCTTCATATTGATTGACTTAGCAACAGCATTTTACACAATGGGTTTAACCTTCTGTTTGATAAACATATTTTCCTTCATTTCCAGGACGTCATTCTCATTCATACCTTTCCTCCAACCTCATTAGCAGCTCTTTCTCACTGCCCTTTCTAGTTTCTTCTGTTCTCCCTAACCTTTTAACATTGACATCTAAGATTCAGCCCTTATTCATTTTCTCTGTCTACACTCATTCCCTTAGTGATGTCCAGTCTTATGGCTTTAAATACCATCCATATGCTGAAGACACCAAAATTCATATCTTCTGTCCATCTTTCTCCCAAACACTATATTCAACTGCCTTCTTGATAGTTCTGTTTGAATGTCTTTTATACATCTCAACTCAGCTTACACCTTTTAGTCTTCTGATACTAGGTCCACCCAGAGACTTTCCCATCTTAGTTAATAGAAACTCTATTTTTTTTCAGTTGCACAGCACAAAACCATGAGGTTCACTACTGACCTCTTTCTTTTTTTCACAACCCATATCCAATCTACCAGCAAATATTGTGGCTCTAATTTCAAAAATATATCCCGAATTCAACCATTTCTCACCACCTACACTGCTACCATTCTGGTACAACCATTTTCTCTTCCTGGGTCACTGAATTAGCCTCCTAATTCCCCTCTTTCCATCTTTAACCATGTCCCTGCTACCACACATACAAACTATATTCAACATGGTTTCCAGACTGATCTTTCCACAACATAGATTAGGTTATGTAGCTATTCTGCTCAAAAACCCTCCAATAGATTCACATTTTCCTTAGAAAAAACACAGTCTTTATCCACAAACGCCTTCATGTTCTCTCCATTCTACCTGCTGTTCTCTAGCTGACTTCCTCTCCTAGTGCTAGCGTCCTTTAATCTCTCTATTCCATCCACAATGGCCTCCCTATTGTTCCTTAAATATGCCAAACACACTCTTCCTTTAGGATGTTTGCTCTGGCTCTTCCCTCTGCCTACAATGTTTTCCCCGAGATCCTTGCTTGACGAAGGCTTTCACTTCTTCAAATCTTTGCTCAAAAGCCAACTTCTCAATGAGACCTATCACTACAAAACTAACATTGCAAACTGCTTCTTTTTTGACTTAAAAAAAAACTTTGATATGCTGCAATATGGATGAATCTTTAGAACATTAGGCTATGTGAAATAAACCAGTTAGAAAAAGACAAATCCTGCACCATTCCACTTACATGATGTATCCAAAGTAGCCAAACTCTTAGAAAGAGAGAGTAGAATGCTGGTTACCAGATGCTGTAGTGAGAGGGAAAAGGGGGCTTGTTCAATGGATATAGAGTTTCAGTTTTGAAAGGTGAAAAAGTTGTAGAGATCTGCTGCACAACAATAGGCAAATAGCTAATGCTACTGTACTGTCATTCAAGATGGTAAATGTTGTTATGTTTTTTAATCAAAATAAAAAGAGAAAAACAAAGTCAACTGAAAGTAAAAATAAAATAAAATCTAACAAATTAAAGAGAAAAAAATCAATGTCAACTTTTGGTTTGAGCTGTGACATATAAAGAGCTTCGAAGCTATTATTCTCACACTTACAAAAAGAAGAAAGCTAGAGAAACTGAAAACTTTTCTTGTACTGTTCTCGGACTTATCAGAGACCTGAGTTAGGGCAAATGTCACCCTGAAATCTGTAGACAGAGGAGAATCCAGAGTCACAGCCAAGTTCTTCCTTCCTGGAGCAGAAGCCTAGTAGGAAGACACAAATGGTAATTTTGACTATGGAATAACGTGAGAGTGGGAAACTTCTGGGAGCAATAGTCTTAGGGGTGCCCTACACTTTTGATGGTTTTACCTTTCTCATGATCTGGTTATCATGGTGAAGAACCAAACACACACACACGCAAAGAAACAAAACCCTGAATTTTGACTCTGGCAGGGAGAGAGGAAAAGTAACCATTATCAAGATCTACTCTCCAGTCAGCCTTTGCCAGAGTTTTATCCCACTTGATGGAAGAGAACTTTCCCTAGTTTAGCTCCCTCCACATTTCCTATCTTGTAATGTGGAGAAAGCTGTAAATACTTGTAAAGGTCACAGTCCAGGAATTCAGACCCTACTAAAATATTGATATTTAATCACAAGATTATAAAGCTCTTCTGTTCTCCAGCACCTAACCACCACACCCGTTATAATAATAATGTATTATAGTTGAAGAAGCTGCACTAGACAGACTATACCTATAGGAGAGTTCTTAGGAAATCCCAAAGACAACAAAGGATATAAAAGCAAGGGAAGGGGAGGAACTTGAAGCTTCTGACATCTACAAATACTATAAATATTAAACATAGCTAAACTCCTAATCAGATTAACATAAAAACTCATCTTAAGGGCCTATCTCACTTGCTATTATCTGATACAGTGTGTCTGTCTTTCAATATGAAAAATTACAAATCATGCTAAAAAGCAAGAAAAGGCACAGTACAAAGAGACAGAGCACATCAGAAGCCTGGAAGGTGGGGGCAGGGGTAGGAAAGAACCAAGGAACCAGCACAATAAACAAAAAGTAGTTACAAATGTGATCGATAGTATTCTATATCAATAGTCACTATAAATGTTCATAGTATAAATGCACCAATTAAAATATATAAATGGTCAGAGTAGATAGAAAAATGGGATCTGAATAAATATTGCCTACAAGAAATCCACTTTAAATATAAAGACTCAGGTTAAAAGTTAAGGGATGAAGGAAGATACACACTAATGAAAAGAAAGCTGAGATAGCTGTTAATTTCAGACAAAAGCAGACACTTTTGATTTTTTAAAGAAAGCAGATTGCTTTATTAAAAACAGACTTCAGAACAAGGAAAATTATTAGGGATAAGAGGGTCATTACATATGATAAAAGGGTCAATTGTCCAAGAAGACATAATCCCCGATATATACCCATTTAACAACAAAGCATCAAAAGTATGTTGGGCAAAAAATGATAGAACTGAAAACAGACAAGTCCACTGTTATATTCAGAGGCTTGAAAACTATCGATCATTGATACATCAAGTGCGCAAAAAATCAGTAAG